CCCCCCCCCCCCCCCCCCCCCCCGTTTTTTGGCTTATGTGTGTTGTGTGAATGGTTTTCAGCGCAGGGGTTTTGCTTTTAATAATGGAAGTTTTCTTTTCCGAGTGTCCCCTGAGCATGGTGGTGTGCACCTGTGACACCAGTATTCCAAGTGGGGGATGGGAGTTTCAGATTATCCTTGACTACCTAGCTAGTGCCATGCCTGCCTGGGTTGATGTTGATGGCTCAGAAAAGCACAGCCAAAAACTATTCTTAAGGAGAAAAACATGGATGGTAGGAACTGCATTTCCTCCTCCATGCCACAGGCTGCACTGACCCTAACCATGTTCCTGGATCATGTAGTTCTCGGCCAGGGAGAGAAGTTAACCACCCCTCTGGACCTGCCTCGTTTCACACTCCTCTTGCTGCCTTATTCTGGTTATGGCCAGAGAGTTGAGGGAATAAAATGTATTTTCCTCGTGAAGATGATGATTCCTAAGAACCGTCTAAGCATCTGGCGTTTGCTTTCCTGTTTAGACTCGAAGTGCACAGCTGTGCATGCCACCAAAGATAGCTATGAATTCAGCCCAGCACAAGCTTGTCAACTTAGTTGAAATATTACAAGTTTTTTTTTAGAAGCTCTGTATCTGTGTGTGTTTGTGTGTGTGTGTGTGTGTGTTTATGTTTGTAACTTGATTATGTGGTTCTGGAAGGTGAACTTTGTGGATGGCAACAACAAAAAGGGCAGATGCCCCTGTAGCTGTAGTCGGAAGGCTTGTTGTCTGGTTTATACCTCCCGTTGGTTTCTCTGACCAAAGTGGGCACACCTTACTTTGGAACCTGCACTGCAGAGAACAGATAAAAAAACATCAGGGAAGTGTAGTTATCCATGGTTCTGCCAACACAGTAGCTTCTTATTTGCCATTGTGTCTCTCTCTGGAAGTAAATTGTGCTATGTGGTTCTGTATATTTAAGAGGGTTTGGAATTTTTCTTTTATACCTCAGGAACTGTAAGCCCCACCTCCTGTTTTGTTGTTGTTGTTGTTTTGTTTTTGGTGCTTGGGAATTGTACCCAGATCTTTATACATGGTAGGTGAGGACTCTAGCTCTCAGCTACACCCCCAGTTCTACTTTCCATCTCCCGAGTAACCGAGAACGGTTTTCTGTGTGCGTGTTACTGACTTCTGATAATTAATGCTGATCTTTTAGATGGGAACCAACAAATGTGCCAGCCAGGCGGGCATGACAGCCTATGGCACGAGGAGGCATCTTTATGACCCCAAGATGCAGACCGACAAACCCTTTGACCAGACGACAATTAGTCTGCAGATGGGCACCAACAAAGGAGCCAGCCAGGTAAGCAGTGTTGTCTTTAATACCTGAAGCAGAGGGCGCAGGAGGAGAGGCTCAGTTAGCACTGGGCCTACAGTGAGTAGCTGGAATCGCAGATGCTATTTTTTCTGTAATATTTTTAGTCTTCAAGAAAGTAGATTTTGCTGAGAGAGCAAAAGAATCAAAGGACCCTTTCTCCGGCCTGAAAAGTGTAGCGTGACTAAAGGTCTTGGTTGACAGCAAGAACAGCGGCCTCTCTGCCTAACCAGAAAAAAAAAGTGATGTTATGTGTGTTTGGAAAAGATAGTTGGTTTTCCCCTGCTTCTTTCTGGTTTTGGTTTTAGAGGGGCACATTTAAATAGGTCCATAAGATTAGTTGGCATTTCTAGTAAGAGCTGTTTAGTCAGCATTCTTATGAACTATTGAGCTAACAGGGAAATGAAGTTCTATGAAAAGCTAATTAAATAACTCTCAAACTGTTAGCATTCTAACTCTTTCTATTGCTTCAGTAAACCACTCTGACTAAAAGTAGCGTGTGGAGGAAAGTTCATTTGGTTTACATTTCCATGTCATAGTTCATCCTCCAGGGAAGCTGAGGCAGGAACCTGCAGGCAGGCTCTGAAGCAGAGACCACAGAGGAATGTCACCTCCTGGCTTCCCTTGCTTACTCAGCTGCCTTTCTTAGACAGTCAGGCCTCCCTGCGTAGGGGCCTCCTGCATTCATTAGCAATCAGGAAAATGCACACAGGCCAAACTGTTAGAGGTAATTCCTTCTTTGAGGCTTACTTTCCAGTGTGTCTGCCTGCAAACCAAGATTAGTTGTCACAGTTACTGTAAGAGTTTTTTAAATAAATAGATGAGAGTGTGAACCAAATTGGAGGCTGGGGGTAAAGACACTTCTCTGGTAATCCCTGGAACCCACATGAAGATAGAAGGAGGAGAGCACTGACTCTACAGAGCCTTCTTATGTGCACCCTGGCCCGAGTTGAAGGAAGGCCCGATTCAGCTCGAGTCAGCGAGTCCTGTCATAAAAACGAGTCCTATAGTCATTCTGTAAATTTAGGGCCACATCAAAGCAGTTGAAAGTTACTGTGTTGACCGCCCAGATTCTAGGTGTGACTTTCATAACGCAGGCGACATTGACAAGGGTAGATGTTAGCTGCTGTCTCACCTTGGGCACCGTTATGTTCCGCCACCAGGCTGGGATGTCCGCGCCGGGTACCAGAAGAGACATCTATGACCAGAAGCTCACGTTACAGCCTGTGGACAACTCGACCATTTCTCTACAGATGGGCACCAACAAGGTTGCTTCCCAGAAAGGAATGAGCGTGTACGGGCTCGGGCGGCAAGTGTACGATCCCAAGTACTGTGCCGCCCCCACAGAGCCCGTCATTCACAACGGAAGCCAGGGCACGGGGACAAATGGGTCGGAGATCAGCGATGGCGATTACCAGGCAGAGTACCCCGATGACTATCACGGCGAGTACCCCGATGAGTATCCCCGAGAGTACCAGTACGGCGATGACCAGGGCATTGATTACTAGCCACACATGGGAGTGCAGTATTTAGTCTGTTGTTTCTATCCAGTGAGACCCAACCTAGCCTTGAACAATTCTTATCTTGTCTTCCTGAAACACTGTTATGCTTATTGTACCTTTAAAAATAAATGCCTTACATACATTCCTTTTTCCTCTTTCTGCCTCCTCCCTAAATAGTTGCCTTTTAGTGCTGTAACAATTAAATCCTACAGCATAACCAATAACCTGCCTATGAAGTGGAAAGGAATGCTGTGAAAGGACAGCCAGGTCTTTTGTTGAAGATCTATGCTTTTTTTTTTTTTTTTTAATAATCGTACACTTAAACTGGTATTTTCAAACTTTTTTACAGTTTAGTGTGTATCTGGCTTGTACATGGAAGACTAAAAATGTTGATTTGCTAAATGTGGTCTTTGCCAACTGAATCTAAGATGCAGCGTTTAGAACCTGACGCATTGATGTTTTCCTGCAGTATTGTCTGCTACGTTTTAAATAAAGTCACAATCAGTGTGCATTTGTGATTATATGTGTACTCATTCTCTTTCTTAAGCTGACAAGGTCTTTTCTGAGAGGCGCTTCCAAAGGCGTGTATACAAAATGGCCGCAGACGTGTAGGGTTGGCTGGTGTGCCTACAGACTTCATTTGTGCCGATGTATCACTGTAGAGTCGCACTGTTTCCTTCAACTGTATTTATTGCTGCATTTCTCAGCATAAACTTATCCCATTGTATTTTTTATAAATAAATATTTTTTTTTGAACATTCATATGAACCACAGGCTGGTTATTCTCTGGCTAGCTTCTACGTAGCAGAGTCAGGTCAGAAACCAGAGGCCTCACCCCTTGGCACTAAGAGGAGGTCTTCTAACGTGATTCAGTTCACTCAGTATGGCACTCATTGGTGGAGGCTGAGCCTGAGCTGGGTGTGGTGACTGAACACCTGCAGTCTCCACACCAAGGAGGCTGATGCAGGAGGATTTCTGTGAGTTTGAGATCAGCTTGGGCTTCAGAGAGCCTTCCTTAAAGGTACAAAAACAAAACAATTACAACCAAAAGAAGAAAATGTCTATCCCCTATAGTAAAGTGGCCGCCAAGAATTATTTGGTCCTTATTTCATTATGACTTGGCTGCCTTGGGTGTATCTCAGATTCAATTTGGAATTCTCTTAAAGGAGAATTATCACATACGCATTGAAGATGTGACATGAATGATGCCCTGAAGCTGACATGGGATGTGCTGTTTGATAAATTGGGGAGCATCTAAGCCATCGGTCTCCCCTTAGAGAAGACAAAACAACCGCTAAGTGTGGGAAAGGACAATGCCACCACTTGCTGGAAGCTGATTCTTCACGCCCTCTGACCCTGTCTCAGCCAAGCGATTCTTCTGGTAGGGCTGTCTTAGGCTTGGGTGGTTTTTGCTAAGACAGAGGTTTGAACCCACACAAGTGACACGTGCCCGTCATTCTGTGATTACTCACTTCGATGCTTCTGGAAGTGCCCTGTAAATCATTGTAGGAGATTTCAGAGCTAAATGAATTTCGTGATACTATTTAAGAAAAAATTAGCATGTAAAGTGGGACTAAGCTGTCAGGCTGTTTCTTGTCCGATTGCAGAGGCAGCTGGGAAGGGAAGGAGCCTTGCATTACATCACACGCTGGCCTGCCAAGTCAGTCGGATTGAGCCTTAGGATGGGAGTTCCACACGGCATCTTGGCCGATGTTTAATGTTCCAATTTGTTTAGGGCCTTAAAAAGGAAAAACTCTTCTACAGTGTGTCTAGTTTTGGGGGCTGTTCAGGTGTAACCTTCCAGGCCAGTCTCCTTTTGGGTGTTTGGGTGGAGTTTGGTCATCACCCCTTTTTTTTTTTTTTTAACTTTTATTTATTTATTTATTTTGAGATAAGGTCTCTAGCGTTCAGGCTGGCCTTTAACTCCTGTGTAGCTCAGGCTGGCCTTATGCTGGTGGTCTTTGCTTCAGCCTTCTAATTGTTAGGATTCTAGATGTGTGTCCTTGTGCCCAGTCATACCGTGTCTTTTAAACTGATGTATATAAAGTTAGTTTTAACAGTTTTTTTGCTCTAGTTCATGTGGAAATAGTCTCGGTATCATAGTGTAGTCACAGTACAGTCAGATTCTTCAGGTACAAATGTCTCTTGGTCCCTATCTCACGATGGGCCGGAGTTCTGTCCCCTCCTCATTTGGTAATGAGTCCTCGTGTCCTTGATTGTTGAAGTTGTTGGTCCGTTTTACAAAACTCTGAAAAACAAAAGGATGAAAGACCCCGGTGATTTGTAATTGCTCACAGCCCTAGAGTTTTAGGGAATTGAATTTTTAAAGTTTTCCAAGTGTATTGAAAATATTTGTGTGCATAGTGGGTTTGTTTTCAAAGTAGATTTTTAGCTGGAAGCTTGTAAGTCAGGGAGAGAAGACCAAGTTAGCTTTAAAGCAGAGACCCTCCTTCAGGGTTCATACACAGGTGGACACTGCACCGTCATGTTTCTGTGAATGGAGGATGCATCCGTATTTATACTCATTCATTCATACAAATAAGTGTTGAAATGCAGTACCTGCCGAAATGACGGTGCTTTGAATGTTGTTTAAGGCCCAAAGAGCTTAACGCTTAATTTTTATGGCAACAAAATGAAAGAAAATTAGTAGAACGTCATCTGACACCCCACAGCTGTGAAAACGAGTGCTGAAATGTCTCCTGTCTGCAGAGGATGAGACAAATGATGAACAATCAGTGTGTGTTGCCGGTTGGATACTACGGCCTGGTAGGTCCAGGCACAAGCAGCACGGGGCTTTGCTGACGGTGTGTGCCCTGGTTAGCAAGGGGCCCGAGGGCTGCCGATCTGTCAGCACTGGCACAAAAGGTGAGCAAAGCAATATGCTCTACTCGAAGCTTCAAGATTATGACATGTGCTTGGAAATGCAACACGCTTTACATAAACATCAGTGTCCAAACTCCCAGACTGTCCCAAGAGGCAAGATAGACATGTTGATGGGCACAGATTGTGCCCATCAGTATGCTGCTGTAAAATGCCCACATGCCCCATTTTATTTCTCGATTCTCTTTGGAGAGGGGTTGTCTGTAAGAAAGTGGTCCAGCATGTCAAAGCTGAGCTCCCATCCCCCTCTGGAATTTGGGGCCGGTGGAAGTAGAAACTCACGGAGCCCTCTAAACCCGAGGGGGCTCATCTGTGAGTCTTCAGGACTTGGAGGGCTCGAGGATGGAGAGTACAACAGGAGAGGAAATGTTCGCTTACCAAGAACTCGGGGCCCATAAAGTACGGCTTCTCTGACGATCCATCGTTTGTTTCCAGGTCCACAGCGAAGCACAGGAAAAGAATGTCCAGCACAGTTTCAAACACGGAGAGGAAACTGTGAGCCACTAAGTAGGCAAAAAAGGCAACTAGCAGAAGGGGGATGGCCCACACCTGGAGGGCACGGCTGTAGTTAAACGCCATCAGTCCTCCAAACACCGTGAAGCACACCACCAGCACCTGGGGGAGGGGAGGGTGAAAACCTTTATAAAGAGAGTAGCTATTTTACCTAAGGTATTACAAGTAATACGTGTGTATGTGTCCGTGTCCTAAAGAGCATTTGACAGGATGAGATAGAAGGGGGGAAAAAAAGCAAAGCCCAGTCAGAGTGGGTGAGAAGATAGCCAGGTCTTTTGATTTTATCTGTCTGCCTTTGACTTCACATAAATGTAACCGTAGCTCACAAAACTTTCATTCTGCTTTCTCACCACAGTGTGGCAAAGCCATCAGGATCTTCAGAAGTGTGTGTGTGTGTGTGTGTGTGTGTGTGTGTGTGTGTGTGTGTGTGT